ATATAAAAATATAAAAATATTTAAAATATAATAAAATTTAACTTCAATTTTATTTTATAAAAAGTTTGAAGTTTTATTATAATTAAAAAACTTTTTAAATGTTAATATTTTTACTCGAACATTTAATAGCTTTAATAAGTTTTTTATAAAAATAATATTCTTTATAAAATAATTTGAAAGGAAAGTACACATTATATTACTTACGAAGATCTAATGTCGTCGCGCTTACAATCACTGCGAGCAAGAGGATCAACTTCATCATTTTTGAATTTTATCTTCCGCTCGACTAATTGTAAGAAGGAAATTCTTATATGAAAATATTCAACAATCGTTTAATATGAACTGGAAGACATGGACAATCTAGGCGGGCTATTTAAGCACTTGCCCCACCATATTTCTATACTGCACATCGTTTATATATACTGTATATGTATGCATATTGCATATGTACACATGCATTCAGGGTGAGGCATAGAAAGTGAACACCTGTTATTGTCCAGCAACATGTCCGGGATAGGTCAGTTATCAGTCGCCGTGACTTATCTACTCATATGATTATTTGATGTACCTATTACTGAAGACATAATTAATTGTGTATATGTAATTATGTATGAAAAAAAAATGGCAAACATTATTTGAATGAATTTAAATTATACAGTCATATAGTCACATCTATATCTAATCAAAATATATCGAATTTTGCTATCTTTTTATCAAAATGTTATAATACATAAAAAAATTATTACAAGAATATTTATAATAAAAAAGTTGTTTTTGATCATTCGAAGTTATGAAATTACTTTACAATATTTTCTCAATCGCTTAACAAGAAATCAAATTGAAATGTCTAATGTTCCCAGTAAACGAGAATGGATTGAAATTAATATTTGAGGACATAAATTCATTTCTGTTCATGAACATTTATAATTTTTCTTTCTAATTAGAAGTAGTAAATAGAAGTATTTTTACATTCATTTCGATTGAAACGGGAATATTCTAATACTATACTAGATATAAATTCAATTACATATTTCTGTCATAACTTTTTTATTTAAACAAAAATGTATATTTTCATAATTTTAAACTGTGCTGTATTCATAGCTTACAAATTAGCTAAATGTTGCGCTTATGCATTTACTTATACTTGCGATTCTTATTATCCTAAGCGATATTCGCAAATAATGAATAAATTAGCACAAAATGATTATTTAAATTTTAAATTTTAATTTAAAATTTTTTTTAATTGAAGTGAATTTAAAGAAACTGTTCTTATTCAAAAATTTTAACTGGGATGTATTTATAACTAATTTTACGATATAAATATAAATATTTTTAGATTTAAATACAGAATATATTTATTATTATTATTATAATATTTTTTTATTAAAATGAATTAAAATATGAAAGAGCTATTCATCATGCCCAAATCAGATGTATTCAACTGAATTCAAAATATCAAAAGCGTGAATTCGAAAATATCAAAATAAATTCATTTCTATCCATTTTAATTTATTCTCTTACTGGGATTTTTTCTCTTAATAATATACAATAACATGCTTTAATCTTAAATAGATCAATTTAAATCGAATTAAATTACCTTGAAATAACTGTAGCACAGACACTGACTGTAGCATCAATGCTTGCAATGATTCATAAATGATTCATAAATATCTGAAGTGAAAATAAATAATAAAAGAATTGCAAACGTGCTGCAGGCTTTGCAAAAAAAATTTTCTCAGAATTATGAGATTTGTCTCGAACGAAACTACATTTATATGCGTTTGCTCTGCTGGATTTGAAAGCTTGACAAAGGTTTGTTTGACATTGACGCGCTTATGTATTTACTTACGCATTGTGATTCTTATTATTCTATGCAGCATTCGGTAAATAGTGAATAAGTTAGCACAAAATGATTTTAAATGCTTTGAAATTTCACATCGATCCTATCCTTTGTGAAAATAAAACCTTCTATAAAAAATTTTTTTAGTAAAATAATCATAAATTATAACATAAATTATAACATAAATAATTATTATTATATTTTGTCAAGAGTGGCTTTTTCAAGAGTGGCAAAATCTTCACTCTTTTAGAATGAGATTCATTTTAAAAATGTATGTGTGTGTGTGTGTGTGTGTGAGAGAGAGAGAGAGAGAATATAGATTAAAGAAGGGTACCAATTTTTGAAAGTTTCACTCGGGAATTGTTTTATTTCTACATTTTCTTATGTATTTTTCTTCGTAGAAATAAAAAATAATCATTATAATAACACTAGACTTAAGAAAAAAATTGGTATATTGAAATAAAGTGAATAAAATCCTTATTCACATAGTTATAAAATCACTATTAGTTATGCCTCATTGATTTAAAAATTAATTTCAAATTGGCACATTAAATATGCGAGTAATAGTGTACTACAAAATGTTAATTAGATATTTTATATTTTTCATTAGGACATTTGTTAGAAAAAAAAATGAATAATCTTATGAAAAATATGAAAACTTGAAAATACAATAATCAATAATTGCTTTCCAACTAATCCTCTTTATGAATCATTTTGTATTTTTAAATTCGATTTATAACGACTATAATATATTGATAATTGGCAACGAAAAAATTCTCTTATTTAAAAAACAATGATAAATGACAAGATATTCTCTTTCTTTTTACTCGAACTTCGGACTTAAAAATAAAACAATTCCCGAAATCCTCGAAATCTTTGATTCTCTCCTTTATAAAATATTAACTTCTGTTATTTTTTTTTTCCATTGATTATCTTTTGCATTTTAAATATAAGTAATATATTTCATTTAGAGATTACAATTTCTAATTCGCATACCTTTATATTTTTATTTCTAAATTACAAAAAAATATAAATATGCATATATTTAATTGTGATATTTAGATGATTTATCTGACTCAATTCAAAGTGAAAAGTACGTCCAATGACTTCATGAAATTTCAGAGAAGACTTGATAATTGCCTTGACATTATTGAAAATGATTTATGATTATGACTATGAGTCGCTCTCTAGTAGACATACATGTTTTATATAATAAGAATATATAGTACTATATATAGAATATATAGTACAAATTACGAATATAATCATAATTTATAATTTTTTATATATGTAGTAAAGAGGAAAGAAATTTTTAATTATTTTTTTATACAAATTAAATCAGTTATGCCATGTGTATTAATTAACATTTAACGCACATTAAATATTTTAATTCTTTATTACTTCATTTTACACTTGTATTTTTTATTACCTTTCTTACATTTTTGAAACAAATATACGTAACAAAAGATATATTTTTTAAGCATTAAAATTGCAATTATCAAAATATAAGCTTATAATATGATAATATTCAATATAATAATGTAAAATAAAATTGTAATTATGTTAAAAATTTCTTTAATGCATATATTAGATTAGGCATTATAATATAAAATATTATTGATTTTAAATAAAATAAGAAAATATTAGGTGGAAAAAAGTTTGTGTCGTTTTTTTAATGCCATTTAATGGGAAAAACGCCACGAACTTTTTCTCATATCTAATAATTAGATACATATGCAATCTAAGAATTTCGCAAATGAAATGGATTTGTCGAAACAAAAAAGTCACAAATAAATTTGATATCATGATGTCATAGATAGATTTAATCACCAGAAATAAAATGATATAAAATGCATTTTTATATAAGACATATTTACATATAGCGTAAAAAGGTAGACATATAAAAGTTGAGATGATCAGTGTTGAAATTTTACTAAATCTTTAAGATAAAAGAAGCCTTGTTCTATATGGATCCTAAAGTCTATAATAAAAATTAAGAGAGTTTGAGAATATTCAGCTAAAAAGCTCTTTTCTAATACTTGAGTGCCAAGCTATTTAACGGCGGTCTAGCTTTCAGAATTCCGAGATCAATGGCGTGTCCGGTGAGAGGACAGCTTTGGCATCGTTTACGTCTGTAATTGGTATTGCAAGTACTTTTTTCTTGTCGCACTATGTATCTGGGAAAATAATGAACGCGCTTCCTTTGCGTTGTTGCGTACGACGGCATCGTCACCACTAGATCCTCTCTGTGAATTTTGCCTATCAACTCCGGAAACAATCGCTCGTTCAGCAGATATTGTTGCAACAATCCCGATGATCTGGATGATGTTAAAGTGTGGCTTGAGCCATGAGTTTCAAAATAGTTTTGTTCTCGGAACTTTTTCAGGTTCTCTACTTCCTGATCCATGGAATCATCGACTGCAAGATCATCGTAGTGCCTTAAACACCGTTCGCAATATTCCAGTAAATCACTCTCTGCACGTTCATCACCGCGCAGCTTCGCAGTCTTCCTCTCCAGTTCACTTTTGCAGCAATAAGGACAATCTTGCTTATGTAACCGCGCTGTTCGTTTATCTCGCATCGGTGATTTTGACGCGAGTCTTTCGCTTGACTCTGGTATATGTCTTCTGGATCTAATAGTCTTTCGTAATGTTGACTTTGACAACTTTCGCGGAGACACTTGAGTTCTTTTACTCGAAGCAAAGGTGATATCGTCGGACCCGTTTTGTTCGCTTGCCAATGAATTTGCAGGCACTGTTGGCGATTTTTGCCTCTCAATGCATTCACTCGACAATATCGTTTTTTTATCAGTGACAGTATCCTGCATACTCGCGTTTGTCATAAATTGATGATAACTAGATGATCGCGGACACAAAGAGTTCCCCTTATCTGCAGTGTGTAACTCACAGATCTTGCTTTGCACATTGCGAAGGAATTGAGATCTGGGCGCGTAGTCGATTTTCTGAACTCTTCGAAGCGTCTCGCAGCTGATCGGCGAAGTTGATATCACTTTGTCGCCAATTTTTTCGACAGGTTTGATTTCTAGTTCACTTTGGCAATGGCAAGGCAAAGCTGGTTTATGCCGAATTTTTGATGATTTTGCATGTTTTTTGATTGCCTCAGAACAATAACAACCTTTTACTGGCTTTCTAGGTATAACTTTCAGACGTTGATCTTGGGGGAGTTTCTTAGATGTTAATGTAACTTTTCTAGATGCTAACATATCGGGGGATTAGTACAATTGCACGTTTTGGATTGATGTAAAAATACTCCAGACACAAAACAACAGATGAATCGTTGCGTAATTTTTATAAATTGATGTTCTTTCCTGTGTAATAATTGTTTTGATTCTTGCGATTGCGGCAATCTATCAAAGATCTCAAATCAACTCTATTAACCTGTAAAGAGATAATAAAAATTAAGTTAATTTAATAAGAAAGAGATTTATAGATCTGTTCTTTTCAGCTAAATAGTTCATTTTTCTCTTTTTCTTTTCATATTGAAAAGAAAAAAAATAAGAGAAGAAGTCTGAGGCAAGAAATTTAGCTAAAAAAACAATCTTAATATTTCTACTCATATGCAATACACTTACAGAGTTGTAATTTATTCACTTCAGAGTTCTTCTAAAATCTTCATCAATATGTAACAACATTCTTTTTTTGCATAATTTTTTTAGATTGTCATTCAGCGTCTCTGCTCTATTTAAAACTTAAGGTATATTATCATTAACAAAATTGAATTATTTTAATTGTACAAGATATCATCATTACAATAATCCAATTTACACATTAACTAAAAATAAATTAAATATAAACAATAATATTATAATAATCTAGAATATGTTGATAATTCAAGCTATAAATTAAAATGAGTTTAAATATAATATTGGAGCATTATAAATAACATAACACTGAAAATTTAATTATAAATTTTTTTTTTCATATATATCATAATCGTTTGTGTACGATTTTTTAACCTATCTTTTTTTTGCTTTATTTAACATTTATTCACAATCTTTAACCGCAATTTTTGCACGAAACTCATCAATGGTAAAAACTTATTGAAATTGTTATGTTGTCTCTATCAATTTTTGTTTTTAACAACATACTTTGTACTTGCTTCAAGAACACTTTAACGTTTTCAACACATATCAACTAATCTTAAATAATACCAATGTATAAGATAATTGTCATCAACGTGAAGTTTGACGAGTCTAGTGTAAACAAAAAGGGACGCTCCAGGCTAGCCAAATTTCGAAAGATATATTCTTCTTGAAAGATTCGAGCATTCAGCTTGAGAAATCAATTATAATCCATCAGAAAAAGTTACATCTTATCGAAATTGCGATATAAAATTGCTTACTATTAAAATTTGTTTAAGCGCCGACAATTTATCTCGTGCTATTTACGGTAAAGAGAAATTTCGCTCACCATCCGCGGCAACTTCATGGCGCTTTACATCAGTGGCGAGTACGCGCGCGTCGCCATGTTGATCATTTGATCATTGAATCATATGTAACGACGCCGTCCGCGAATGTGTTTCGCGGTCTTTGAACATAGTTAATTTTAACTAGGTAAGGCACTACATTGATGTGTCGCACGACGACATCATAGATGATATCCTAACTCGTTGAGTAGCCCTGTTGCGCGAGATTTGGCTGATCTAATCCGATCTCGACGCTCCACGCGGTCAGGTTATCCATTTGTAGGTTAGGAACGCTACATTTCGAGCATATTGTTTGCACAGGTTATTACGCGTGGTGTTATGGATTTACCTGGGAACGGAACATCGCGCGATCTCGTTAAATATCCTCTAACGTTACCGCAGTTCTCCGAACTGCGTTCAATGCCGACTGCCGCAGCCGCTGCGATCGCCGCCATCGCCGCGGCTGATAGCCGTAGCATGCAATCGCAAGAGGTGCAAACCACTGTCCAAGCGGTCACGTCTCCGCAAGAGACTTCGGTGAGGTTTTTCTGCTTTTTTTTGCACTGCATTTCTTCTTTCTCATTAATTTTGGTTTGACATTAAAATTTTTTTGAATTCCCTTTCTCTTAGACAAGTACACTCAGCAAATACCTTGCGACACCTTTACCTGGCTGGCAGGATACTTTGATTCAATTGTGCGAGAAGCAAGTGCTTAACCAGATAATTAATGTCCCTAGTTATAGTCAAAATAACGTGACACTCGGTGCACAATCAAGTAGTTTTAATTTTATTAATAGTCTATACTTACCTTCCACATCGCAGGCAGATACTGTAACTGTAAAGCAAGGGATAGATATCCAGCCTAAAGAAGAAAAAAATTCAGACAAGGTGAGATATTCTTTGAATATTGTTAATTTTTTAAAATTATTTCTACATTACTTATAGATATTTATTTGTTTCTGTTGTAGGAATCTGAAATTCTATTAAAGCAACACCAAACAGCAGCAGCCATGGCTGAATATTTACAGAAATTACCATCTGAATTTTCTCTACGAGAAGCGTTTGAACTATGTGCAGAACAAGTAAAAAAGGAGAAGACGCGGGAAGAGAAAGTAGAGCACGTGCAGAATAATATTTTAAATATACCAAATATCAGAAACATTTATCTACAAAACGGCAACAATTTCGCAAACTCGGATCAAATGACAGTGACTGTTAATCCGAGTGATCTGAATCTGCAAAATGAACAAGAAATTGAAAATAATTTGCGAAATGTTTTAAAAGTCGAGCAGCAAGTACAAACCGATTTGCCAAAAATCGAGAAAAAATCGAAATTTCGAGCAAAAATCAGTGAGATTAAAATCAGCGTTAACTATGACGGAACTACGCTTTACTGTTGCCCGGAGTGCAATTTAGGGTTTCCGGACAAGGCTGACATTGAACAACATATACAGGCTCATCTTCAGGTACATATATTTTATTATCTTTGGAGATTAGGTAGCTAAAAAAATATATATTAAATAAAAAGTTTTGATTTATTTCAGGAACGAAAATACCAATGCAAAGAATGTGGTGCCATGTTGAAAAGAAAGGAGCATCTTGATCAGCACATGCGAGGTCATTCGAACGAGCGACCTTTTAAATGTGAGATATGCCAGAAGGCATTCAAGAGAAATGAACACTTAACAAGACATAGCGTAATCCATTCCGGAAATAAGGATTTTCCATGCACCATGTGCCAGAAAGCGTTTTCGCGCAAGGACCATTTAAATAAGCACTTTCAAACGCATTTTGGCATTCGTAAGAATAAAAAGGAGGATTCTTATTATACCGATCAAAAAGATACAAGAGTATTCGATAACAGTACCGATATTGCGGCAACGCCTAAGCAGGAGGTGAGTTATATTTTAAAGGACGGTTCCTTAATAAAGCAGGAAACTGCTCTTTTGCAGCACCTTCAGACTATTCAAAAAAATCCGAATTTATTGTACACATTCGCTACTCTTAAAGAACAAGTGATGAAAGATGTAAATCTGTCTGAACAGGCTCAGAGCAGTAATATGAACGAAAATGCAAGGTATTTAATGCCGTCTTAGTTGTAGGTAAAATCCATGTTCCAAAGCAATATATGATTGATGATGCTGAAGCCGTAGGTAATTTCAATTTTTGAATTCATATTTTGTCATTGAACTATGACTATTTCAGATTTATAGTTTAATTTTAATACGACGAGAAACGTTTTGACATTGAATTAAAAGCATACATAGTAAAAAATGCGAATCATGAAATAAAAATATCATATAGTCCAGCTCCTCTATTCTAAAGTCATCGGGACCGAGCATATTTTCTCTATTCTACAATTTCTTCTTAACTCAATCAGTCCTCATTTTTAGAAGATATTGCACAATCTGTTTTTTGCTTGATGCTGATTGATGCATATAATACAAGCATAATGAAGCAATACAAGAGGAGAAATTCAGTTTAGAGGAGATAGCTAACTTAGAGTAAAGGAAAACTTAGAATAGAGGAGTTCTGTGTATTATATATCAATCTCACATCTTTAATGCGTTAAAACGTCGAAATAATTATGTGCTAAGCTATGAGATAAGCTGTGATTACCTGAATTTATCATCTTTGTTTTTTCATTGTCATCTTTCCATCGTTTTTCTTCATTTTTTTCATTTCATATCATTTTTATTTTTCAAAAATTGTCTTTTACAGTTTCGAAAAAATATTAATTTAAAGATACGAAAAGCTTTTTTCGATAAAATTTTGTTTCAAGTAAAAATTTTTTTTTTAACTCACTTAGTAATCACAACATACTCAACATGTGAGCGAGCGCATATTGTAGTTTTTTTCTTAAATTAAATTCCGAAGGAATGAATATGACTAATATATTAATTATATATTACTCTAATCGCCTTAACTCTTGGAATTTTAGAGACATAGGATGTATTTTAAAATTTATTCCAAGATTTTTCTTGCGTCCTATATAAAATGAACCTTTTAAAACATAAATAAAAAAAATCGATAAGAAGAATTAATAAGTAAGGGAAGGCCAATTTATGTAATAGCACGTTTGTCTGCCTTACTTAAGTTAGCCATAGGAAATATTATTGTCAACAATTCTAGTCCGTGTCGTAATTTTTAATTTTAATGCCTACTTGCGTTAAGCAAAGACTTATTTTGGACATTTGGACTCACGATAACTAAAACGCATTAAATCTGCGTAAATAATGAAATATAAGAATGAAATGTAAGAACTTTTGAAAGATGTTGTTAAAATATTAAATTTGCCGATTTGTGAGTAAAAAAGGTGTCTTTTGAGAGAAGATTGCTACTGAATAATTATTTTTCGGTTTAGATATTTGAAAGTTTCTCGCTCTTTATCATACTATTTTTGTTGTTATATATAATATTTTTATTGTATTAATTCGGAAAACAAATAAGCCAAATATGTGGCGAGATAATGGCACAATATTACGAATTTAATCAATTTCTGACAATTGAACTAATATTTAACTCTTTCATACTTCCGAGACATACATGCTTCATCGATGAAAAAAATTATAATTTTTAAACAAGTAATCCTATCGACTTTTACCTCGATTTGTTTTAAAGAAGAAAGTTTAGGCTACATGCAAAAAATCGCACACATTGAAACATGTTTTCAATAAAATATAATTATCTAAACTTCGTAAAAAAATCAAATTTTTTGGATAGTAAATAGATAGAAGAATACCATGTCGAAAGATCATAGAATTGATGCTAATTATAAAGTCTTATTTAAATGTGATTACAATTTTATTATGATATATTATGAAATATTATAATAATTTATATAATCTTGTTTATGTAATTCCACATTCACTACATTCGAAGAATTTTTATCGTTCTAAATATATTTTAGATTGAATAGTCGTGTGTGTATTTGTATGTGTATATTACGATATGTACTTGAAAAAAATGAATGATGATATACTGATATTTCAGATTTTCATGACCATCATCTTGAATCCGTTATTTTGAATTAAAATTTTAATAGTAAATCAGTATCTGGAGGTACGGAAGGTTTAAGCAAAAATTTAAAATTTGTTACGGACATTGAGATAGTGTATTGATAAACTGAAATAGTAAACAATATATACTGCCAAAAAATTGTTAAAAAGTTGTACACATTATTGTCAAGTAGAACACATGCAATTGTGGCACAATATTATAATAAGTATTGAGGTGCACTTGTTTAGAACAATTTGACCAAAAATATCCGAGAAATATCAATATTTCTAATAGATATCTTGAATAATATTTATAAGTTCATGTTATAATTCAAAAATATGTTCCAAACGAATATTATAATTTTTGTGATTTAAAATTGATATTCTTATAGGTGACAAAATGTGTGCTAAAATGTGTTAAACGATGTTTCTTCAAATAACTTCCATTGATTTGTTAATATAATTTTTCAAGATAATTTTTCATCTGTCATTTCTTATTTTTTTTCCTGAGTAAATCATTCATTCTGTCATTTCATATTCTTGAAGATTGATTTTTATGATCTCAAAAAGATGTCGCTAGTTGATGAAGTATAACAAATGTTTGTCTGTTTGATAAAAAAATTTTATATTAATTTCCAATGAGTAATTTCTTTTGTAGAATTTGTTAGTTACATGGATAATTTCGAGAAACGCTATTTTTTACGTCATGTTTTATCTTATTAGTTCTTTATCTTATTTACTTAAATAAAATTTAAAAAATAAGTTTGGGATTATTTAAAAAAATTATCAAATGACGAAAGTTAAATTGATGATTGAAGTTTTGTATATCGAAAGAACAGCGTTTTATATTTTTAAGATACATTATTTTTAAGATACTCGTCTATTCGACACTTCAATTTTAATTTGTATGTATATTAGAGCGAGAAATTGAAAAACTTCTATGCGCTGTATATTCACGATGATTATAGTTATCTAATGTTTTCTTATATATTTGCAACATGTGCAAATGTATGTATGCGTTAATATATAAATTAGAAGACGGTACTAAAAACACATACCGTACTCTGATATCACGTAATACAACCAAAGACTTCATACATATACGCGTATGTCAAATAGCAGTATTCTGGGTCATTCGCGCTGGGGTCTTTTTTTTTTAATTCTTCGTAAGTATCACATTGATAGTATAATGAGAGAATAAAGGATCTTTGCATAAAGAAGAAGCAATGAGACATCTTTTTCAAGATGGCTTTCGTGATGATTTTTCTCATTGAGAGAGACTAAAGAGATAAGGTAATAGAACTTTTTAAACAGTGAATGTGCATTTATAGGACTCGTGTTTAAGCACTGTTTTGGACAGTGGATATGCGTTTACAAGACTCTATGCATTTATCCCGTAAGAGAATTGTTATTGTATAGTGATAATGAAAAAAAGATAGCTAAAAAAGTAACATGTATTTTTTAGATTGAAATATTTTTGAATAAAATGTATGTAATGTAAAAGATTGCAAGATTGTTTCTTTATACTTTTCATGAATCACTTTATACTTCGTCAGGTGTGTGCAGTCTGCGGTCGAACGCTGTAGAAAATAGCATTATGTTATGTAGTCTTACGCAACGTCATACAACGAAATGACCGTCTGTGACACTAACGCGGAAATATTAATACGTTGAACTTTATATCATCTAGAGAACGAACTCTTTGTACTCGGAGTTCTAACAGGTGTAGTATTTCATATTCGTATAATATAAACATCCTTTACTTTACTCGGATAATACGGGAATTAGCACAGCGTTAAAAGCATCATTATTTAATCTCATGTAATTTTATTTATTTTATAACGTTTAAATTTTATTTATTTTATATTTTTTTTTACAGCGGAATACAGCAGCGCAATATGACAGCAGTACAAAGGTATAAAATTATTCGATATCTGTGCTGTCTTTGCTCTCTTTATACTCTTCTTTCTTTTTTCCTTTATGTTGTATATTATATAAACGTAATAATACATTTAATATTAAATTCTCATTTGATATTTACTCGTACTCTTGGCGTGCCTTTAATATTAAATGTAACATTTTTCTGTATTTAAACGCAATTTTTATATTGGATAAATTAAAATTGCATACACTTGAACTTAATGTGCACAAAAAGGAAATGCCATTACGAGCCAACACAGATTATTTACATGACAAACATATATTATTTAAACAAATATACGTTTCGGTCCTTTTTTTAAATCATCCTCAATACATATAAACTGACAATTATTTGAACGAAAAAAACCATCAAATTTTATATATGGTATCTAACCGGTAAATAACTGGTTGAAAACTATTCAAGAATCGCAAATTTAATTAGAAAAGTCTACGATATAATAATTGTCAGATGGATAAAAATTCATTTCGTGAGGCACATGCAATTATAAAGTCGATATATAATTATTGTTTGTATCGAATAAATTAACTTATCGAATTAAATTATTTTATTTGATGTGCAAATTTATAAATGGATTAACGTAATATGGTTTCTGATCTAACGTATTTTATTTTACTTTCTGTCGTTTTATTTTATCATTGTGTCAGCTTTTCGTTTCCACAAGTAGTGCTCGATAATTTACTATAAATGCTATAAGTAAGCCCGAAAAGAGTTCCAAGCCACTCAAGCAAATGACGACCCACCGTCGTCGGAAGGGTCGTTCCTGGCGTCACGCTTTCCACCTCATTTTTCTTATCCAGTTCTTCGTCTTGCAGTTCCAGTTGTTCCAAAGGTTGAATGTCATTGAACCAATCGTCGTCAGGTAGTATTTTAGCTTCATTAGAACTTTTTTTATTGGAGTTCGTAGAGCTTACATTATTTTCGTTTATTTTTATTTCGACGGATGAATCTTTTTTGAGATTACTCGAAGTCGCCTTACTGTCACGACTTTTTGGTATCGACAGTGACTTTATCTGATTCAGGAAGGTATTGTTGGGATACTTGAGATTTGTATAGTTATCTGCTTTTAACGTGTCAGTCCATATTAGTCTCAAAGTTTGCAAATTAGGATCCGATGTGTTCTTCGCTAGGATTTTTTCTACGTTGCTGGTATTATCGGGTTGATGGAAAACAAAATTGTATGTTGTGCGTAGTTTTTCCCAAAATTTATCTAACGATTTCGTGGTATCATTAAATTGTTTGTGATATGCCGTCAATCCTTCCACTGGAAATAGCTTCGTTATTTGTGGCTTTGATTGCACTCTCGTGGCGAAGAGCTGCGAGATACATTAAAAGATACGGAATTTATGATTTCATATATCTTGACACAAATATTTTTTTTAACATTTAAATATAT